CTAAAACTTTATAACAAAATAAATAATAAACTTAAAAACAAATTTCAAAATTTTAGGAATATATTTATTGCACTTACATCAGACATATGGGCTTGTAGATAAAAAACTGATTTTTTAACTGTCACAGTACATTTCTTAGATCATAATTGGGGTTTACAACAAAAATTGATGGGTTTTAAACCATTATATGAAAAACATAGTGCTGACACTATTTGTTTTACAATTCCTGAAGTTTTGCATGAATATCTATTAACTGATAAAGTTATAGCGCTAACACTTGATAATGCAGCTGCTAACACTGCGGCAATCTCTTTATTTGAAAAGAGATTGGATCCGCATAGGGAAGGCAAATTTTTTCACCAGAGATGTGCTTGCCACATCATCAATTTGATTATTAAAGCAGGTTTAGATATTATACATTCGAAGATGGAGAGGGTGCTCGTGGCTATCGGCTTTATCATCGGCGGTAGCAATAAAAGATGGCAGGAGTACGTCAAATATTATAGGCAAGATGACCTACTTGTTCGACCTTTGAAGTTATGTACGGACATGCCTATCCGTTGGAACTCCACATACTTGATGTTGGAAAAAGCTTTGCCAACCGTATAACAAATTACAGATTTTGACAAATTACAGATTTCGACAACCAGAAGAATCCACAGGAAGTTGTCAGCTATGATGATTGGGCGGTTTGTAAACTTTTTTATTCATTTCTTAAAAAATTTTATGATTCTACGAATACATTAAGTGATATTTATTATCCGACTACTAGTTTAGTGTTAGATATTCTACTTCAAATTGCTAAAACTTTTGCTAAATATAAATATAATGACGTTTAAAGGGAAATTGTTTCAAAGATGGAAGAAAAATACGAGAAATAATGGTTAGGTATTCCACTCTTATATTGATTAGGCCTTGTTGTAGATCCTAGGTTTAAATTACACGTAGTTAACTGTATAATTACTAAGTTAAACTAGCATTTAGGACATGATTATATGTCTTATTTGACCGACTTTAAGCAAATATTGGAAAGTCTTTTGTCTTTATATGAGAACATGTACAATAGAAGTGGAAGTGGAATGTTCAGGAGAGATGATCAGGACCCTGATGCAGACCTCCGTCAAGGATCGAGCAAGTGGACGTATATGGAACATGGTTGAAGTAACAGCTCCAGCTCATACATACATGGACCAAATGAGCTGAATCACTACCTATAAGTGGACCTATCCTACATGATGATGGTTCATGAAAGTTGATTCTCCATTGTAACCCAAATGGCACTTGATATTTTATCTGTGCCGATTTCTACAATTGCATCCGAGTCAACATTTTCAACGAGTGGTCGAATTGTTGAAGACCGAAAATGTTTTTTAATCGATGAGATGATTGAAGTGATAATGTGTTTACGAGATTGGACTCATGTAGAAAGAAGACTACAACAGCACCCTGAAGATCCTAAACCACTCGAACTCTTTAGGAATACAGATTTGAATAATTTAAATATTGTTGACGCTGAAGATGAATAATTTAATTAAAAAAAAATTTTTAATTGTTTATTTGTGAAGCGTGAATGTGTGAATATCAAATTTATGTTAAAATTAACTATTAATTTATTTATTATTTTATTATTTTTTAAAATTAATTAAACTTTTATAAACTTACTAATCTACCTCTAAAAATTACTAAAACCCCCTACAAAATTTCATTTCGCCCTTAAAATATAAAAAAAAGATAAGGGGGAAAAAGAAATTTTGCAGGCTCATATGACTGGTCCGGGTCCTAAAATTGCTTATGGGCCTGAGACCGATCCCAGACCCATGAGCAACTGGTCCCAAATGGGCCTAGGCCCAGACATGCTTGGGATCGGTCCTTGACCAGGTCTATCTACATTTATTATTGATGAATATATTTATATTACGTATGATTGATCAATATTTACATGTCATGTCACTCAAATAAAATTATTATATTATGTTTATATTAAAATGGTAACAGTGATGATTATAGTATTCACCATAAAAATATACAATAGTTACTCATTTATTAATGCACCTGGTTATTAATCCTAGTTAGGCTTGACAAATTTAATTTAAATTGTTTGAAACTCAAATGGCTTTTGTGTAAATACTAAGCGTTAATGTTTTTTTTTTTTTTTTTTTTTTTTGTTTTTTTAATGACCAGAGTGTCCAAGCCAGCTTGCACGCAACTCGACTAGTCTCCAAAACTCATTGAACACTCTACAAATCAAGGTTTTAAAACCCAGCCTGAACCGATCGGTTTAACTGGGATCAGAGCTTTCACCAGGCCGGATTACCAATTTCCACTGTTCATGGAAAACCCTAGAAAAACGACGATGACCGACGAGCAATTGGTGGTTGGGATGTTGGGGGTTTTGAAGATGAGGGGTCATGAGTCTAAAGGTGGCGACGAAGGCGATTTCTGACGAGTGAAACTAGAGGTGATTGGGTTCGAGTACCCTAGGATTTTTGGAGGAACTGAAACCGGTCAGTTCTTGAAATTAAGAACTAGAACCAGAACCGATCGATTCTGGTTCCTCAATTGCTTCAAGGGTTCCGGTTTCGGGTACCCTGGATAATTACATTGGTCCCTGTAATAAAAAAAAAAAAAAAAACCTGTAAAATTTACAAATAAACTCCATTTGTTTAGATGTTCTATAACAATATAACTTTTTCCTTGTTAATTAATTTCAATATTTCAAATAATTTTAATATATAGTGTAAGACCATATATCAAAATTGCTCATAGCTTCTTCATATCCAAAATGTTCAATATACAGTCTATAACAAATTAAAATTGATATAGGGATTTCATTGTTAGAGCATCTCCAAAAGACTCTTTATATGACTCAAACTCTTTATTATAAAGAGTTTATCCATAAAAACAAGAGTCCAATAGACTTTTTATTATTTAAATATAAATTAAAGAGTGAGTTTAACTCTCCACATCTAGAGAGTAGAGAGTCAAATTTCACTCACTATCATAATTTTAAATAATAAATTACAAGTTTTATGCATTTTATTTATTATTTATCTCTCCTATTAAGTTTCTTATTTGAAAATACATATTCTCTCTCTTAAAATTTAAAGAGTCTATTAGATTTGAATAAAAATTTTGTTTTTTATATTTAAAAATTAATGAAGGTGCTTTTTATTTATATGAAAGATGCTCTTTAAAATAAAGAGCACCATTAGAGATGCTCTTAAGTTTAGTTTAAGAGTAAAATTTATTAAAACCTCTCAATATTGTATACTAGTTTGTATAAACCCCGATTATTTTCCCGGTTCCTTGCAGGGTACCCTGTTACCGATTCCTTGTAAGGTACCCTATTACCGATTCCTAGCAGGGTACCCTATTTCAAGTTCTTGGAATGAAGGAATTGGAACTGAAACTAGAACTGGGGGGTCTCAGTTCCTATTTTGTAGAACCAGAACCTACCTTGTGAGGGTTGGTTCCAGTTCCTACCCAAAACAGGGACCCTGGGTACCCGTCGGTTCTAGGTAGAACCTATTCTCATGCTCACCCCTAGGTGCAACCACCGAAAATCGCAAAAATGCACTGCAACTTGCCGAAGATTGAGGACGACGATCGGCGAGCAATTGGTGATTGGGATGTTAGGGGTTTTGAAGAGGAAGGGCCAATGAGTTTAAAGGTGGTGATAGAGGTGATTTCCGATGAGTGGAACGATTGAAAATCGCAACAATGGCGCGGCGGCAATAATGACTGTTTCTTGCGATTGGCGAGGCGAACGGGGGTGGGGTGAGATGAGACTGAAGGGGGTGTTTTCATGGTGATGGGGAGTGTTATCGATGCTAGAAATAGGCAGTATTTGGTCTGGGTTATCGACCGCCGATTTGCATTAAGGGGTGTTTTTGCAAGATTTCAAACCTGTAGGGACCTACATGTAATTTGTAAGGTTGTTTTTGTTAGATTTTGAAATTTTTTACATGCTGACGTCATCGGTTTGACATGCCGATCAAACTGGTTCAACCAGTCAACCCGGGACCCAGCCACTTTGCCGAGTTTCACCCCGGGTCGAGTTTTAAAACCATGCTACAAATACAAGCCCAATATCCTCAAGTGTTAATTTTGATAAAATGTAGTAGTATATTAGTTGGATTGAGATGTGTAACACTATTTATAATTTAATAATTAATATGGTTAATTGTTTTTTAAGAGTCCAAAACTACTTTTTTCTATTGAATAATCCAACTAAAACACACGCGCTTTAGTGGAGTCTCAATAAAAATAATTTGATTACTGACTTTTTCACCCCATTTATAGAAAAATGATACAGTTATCGAAAAATGGATATCAAATTCATGCACCGACATACGTTGCACCATCATTATCGTTGATTAATTATGTTTTTTTTTTTTTTAAAAGAGTATGGTGCCTCTTCTGTTTGTTCATGAATTCAGTATATATTTTTCGGTAATTGTAGCATTTCTCTCATTTATATCATAAGCTTCAATTTGAGAATCCTAATCCTAAAGAGTTAATTATTCTTTACTCTTCAAAGCTCATAACAAAATGAAAAATTGGCCTCTTCTCTGTTTGTAAGGCCTTAGGGAGTGGAACTCAACACATGCAAGTTCAAGCTAAAGCAGAGCGCTCTAATTCCACGTGCCACCCTTCTCATTCCTCCACTTATCTCTGCAATATTTTGCTTCAATTACCGCATCAACTACACCGCTTCCTTTTCCTTAAATTATCACCCTTTCAACTTCACAAATATTCTTTCATCTCTCTGTAAGAAAATCATTTTCTTTTTTCCTTTTATTGTTATTTTTGCCTCTTTCTTTGGTTATCATAATGTTGTTGGTAGTGAATGTTACTTTGCCGCAATTGCATATATAAATGGAAATTGCGTGGTTTCTTTTCAACAATTCATGTAATTATACAATTCAGAAAGAGCTTTATTGGTGCATCATTATATGAACATACCTGAATTTTCATGCTTTGGTGAAATGCATGCAAATATGAGCGATGGGGTGAATTGTCATTCACGCTTTGGAACGAAGCAGCATGAAAATCACAAGAATCATCTCAGTAGAGATGTCGTGCTGGGGGCTGATCTATGGACCGATGGACTTATTTGTGCTTTCGAATTTGTTAGAGGCCGCAGGAAGATGGTTCAACCAAAGAATGAGTCATCGCAATCATCTGGACTGACTAATTCATCATCTCCTAAAGTTGCTCACCACTTGAGTAAATCTTCACCCGTTTTACAATCTGGGGTCACTGTTAAGGAAAAATTAGACGAACATAATCACAATGAGGACTTGCATTCGGAAAATCTCAGTGGCAGGGAAGAAAATCTTCCTAGAAGTTATTGGATACCAATTCGATGGGCTAGAATTTCTCAACTTGTTCAGACTGTGCAAGTTGATTCGGGCTGGGCATCACAGCCTATCGACTTTACAGATGAAGAAGAAGATGTTACTGTCGCAGATTTGGCTACTCCTTACTGGGAAAGAAAGGTCGGACCCACTTGGTGGTGTCATGTAGATGCTGATCACCCACATATAAATGAATGGTTGAGTAATGCTCAATGGCTGCATCCTGCTATCTGCACTGCTTTGCGAGATGAAAATAAGCTGATGAGTGAGCGGATGAAGCATCTTCTATATGAGGTAAATTGTTGCAATATTTGCTTGTATAGTTAGTAGTTCTCTATCAGGGAAGGAAGTGTTGCATGTATGGGACACTAGTCTGTTGTCGATGATCAGGGAATTCTCTTCCATGAATTTGAGGGTAGTGTTGAAGAAAATGGTTTATTGTCATGACTAATAATTTGTGTTGTGATGCATTATTAGCGTCTTTGGAGGTAGGATGGTGATAACATTAGTATATTTAAAAAACTCTCACTACTAGTCTCCATCTTTGTATAGGCTTATTCTCTGTCTGAATCTCATCAGGGCCAATGTTTATTCAATTAAAGTTTTCTTATTTGTTGCAGGTTCCTGTAAGAGTTGCCGGTGGACTATTATTTGAGCTATTAGGGCAGTCAGTCGGGGATTCATCAATGGATAAAGATGACATCCCCATAGTTCTAAGATCATGGCAGGCACAAATTTTTTTATTAACTGCATTGCATATTAAGGGGCATGCCTCAAACCTTAATGTGTTAGGTATAGCAGAAGTTCAGGTTTGTTCATGACCAATAAAAAGTCTTGCTGTGGCCTTCATGCATTTTGTTTCCAATAAAGTTAGTTTCTCTGTGTTCAAAGCAATTATATACATTCATCTGACAATTTTAAATCATTCTTTGTTAAGGAGCTGCTTGCTGCTGGATGCATCAACATTCCACGAACTATATATGAGGTCATTGCACAACTAGTCAATCGGCTTGCACGATGGGATGATAGGTAACGAAGTTTTTTTTTCCTGTGAAAATCAAAACCCAACTTATCCAAACTTTTAACACCTCCACTTGAATAGTCATCTGCATTTGCAGTATTTTGTGCACATACGTACAAGGTAATTGTTATAAGCTTCGTTAAAGTAAAGTTTTTATTGTGTGAATTACCAAATTTGCAGTTTACTCATAATTGGTTGTTTCGATTATTGCCAGTTGAGCAGAACACATTTATCTTCTGGATTTTTCTATCCTTCTATTTAATCTTTACTGTGGCCCTACCTACTAACTTCCGTTGCTGTACTTTTGACACTCCATGGATTTCAGGAGTATTTTTTTTTTTGGTATTGCAATTTTTTTCCCATTATTACTATTTTAGGTTATTTCGCAGATCCATATTTGGAGCAGCAGATGAAGTAGAGTTGAATTTTATGAATAGGTGCTACCTTGCATTGGACTATTTCATATGCTATACTGAAAAAAATTTCAGTTTTGCTAGTCTTTTCTCTTTTCTGTGTGAGTCTGCCATTGATTTTGCATGATGCATTGAACAAATAATGTTCACTTTTGAGTAGGAGAACCCAAGATATGCATCTGTTCAGTATAATTTTGAACCAAGAGATCAGGAGGTTATCAACTCAGGTATCTTGCTTCTTTACACTTTTGGATTGGTTAGTTTCTTTCATAGTGCAAAATGGCCATTTTAAGTTTTCTTAGAGAGTTTTGCCTGGATTGAGAAATTATAATATAGTGTTCAGACTATTCATGAAAAATGTCTAGTGATGCTTATAGTCTTGTTATAGATAATATTATGTCCATGAAGATCTGTATGGACTTGGAAGATAATCACTACCAGTCATCCTTTGCTTATAAGTTATGCATTTTCCTTGTGTGCCTCAATCTGCAGGTTATAAGAGTGAAATGGTCACTTCATGCCAGGGAGGAAATTGTATTTGAGCTTCTTCAACATGTGAGAGGGAATCTACCTTGAGCCTTGCTAGAGGGAGTAAGAAAGAGTACAAGGGAAATGATTGAAGAACAAGAAGCAGTTCGCGGCAGGTTATTTACAATTCAAGATGTCATGCAGAGCACTGTTCGTGCATGGCTGCAGGTAAACTTACCCGGATTTCCAAAATTTACATTGTCAAATTTTCTGAATTTCTATTGATGTTTTTCTGCAGTCAGCCCTGATATTTCATACATATGCATTTGGCTAAGGATGTCTGGGTAGATAAAATTACAACTTAATTATTATGAATTTCTGGAACAGAAAGTGAGACAGTGACAGTTTTCTTGAAACTTGTGGTGCTTTTGGGAAATGCGCTTTGCTTGATAGTGATCAAAATCAAGATTGTTGGCTCTGTCAAACTTATGCTCTAGTTAACTCATGTAGCACCTCTTCTTTGTTTCTCCGGAGCATAGTAATGGTTTATCTGTTTTTCAGTTCTAGTCATCCGTTTTTGGAGGTCTTGATCAAATCACAACTGTCAAATTCCAGATCTGAACCTGTCACCGTTGATTCTATACATTTAGGTTTGACTTATATCAACTTGGTTTATTAAACTTGGATATCATCCAAACTGAGTTGTACTAATGCTCATACCACTTCCAAAACACACATTTAAGTTTGGGTTTAAGAGAATGTCGTTTGCCCATGTCATCTACTCTTCTTGTTTGTGAGCTGTGGATGGAAGTTGCATTTGTTTTATGGTAACTCTACTTTCAAGTCGCCCCTGATGGGTTCCAAGTTTTAGCCTCAAGGTATTGTTAATTATAATATATGCTTAATGATTTGGTATTTTACTGGTATATACCATAAGATCAACTGAATGATGAATACTAAAGATAGGGAGACAAAAAGCTTTTGGATGTATTAGCACTTTAGCAGGCAGGCAGTTTGATCAACTTGCATCACTTTTGTCTGGAAAAATTATTAAAAGTGTAATGTTTCCTCACTCTACAATGCTTCTTATTTTAGGACAGAAGCCTTACAGTTACACATAATTTAGGAGTTTTTGGTGGTTGTGGCCTCGTTCTTTCCATTATCACTGGTCTTTTTGGGATCAATTTGGATGGAATACCTGGAGCTGAAGGGTCTCCATATGCATTTGCTCTGTTTTCTGGCATCCTCTTCTTGTTAGGAGCTGCGCTGATTGCAATCGGGTTGCTCTACCTTGGTTTGAAAAGTCCCATCACTGATGAACATGTTGAAGTGAGAAAATTAGAGCTCCAAGAGCTTGTTAGGATTTTTCAGCAAGAAGCAGAGTCTCATGCACAGGTCCGAAAAACAGTACCTCGTGCCACCTTACCTCCAGCTGCCGCAGGTGTACTTTCAGATGGTGCAAGTTACGTTCTCATCAGTTGAATGTAGCATGCAAAGAAAGTCAAAACATCTCATAGTAGTTAGTGTTCAGTTACAATGCGCAAAGCGTAATTCTGGGTTCTAGATTCTAGATTCTTGATATTGTTACTAAGAGTTGTAAATGCTCCAAATAGAAGCACAATAGGAACTGAGTAATTTCCTAGGAAAAACAGGATACATGTACAAATAAAAGAAGTAAATGGTTCCAACGTGCAAATAATAGCCAGAAAGATTTTTTTTTTTTTTTTTTTTAAATTTAAGAAAATAAAAGATGCATAGCTGATGCTTAAAAACAAGGGTGCTCATAGAGGTCAGATGTATTTAATTTTAGCACGAAAAGTCTTGGGTGTTAACTGGGCAAGAGGGATCTGAAGGCCTCAACTACCAAAATAGGGATTGGTGAGAAGCAAATGATAAAGGCACTTGTGTGTCAGGTGATTGTGATCATTGAACCAATTTTTACTGGCATGAGACGAGAGTCATGTGCATTTTAAATCGTAATCTCAATTTTGGGTGAAAAATCGTTTGGCACGCAGCGTTGATTCATGGACAATTGAGTCAGCTTTGTGGTGGCGGAGGCCCTTATTTTATTTGTTTAAAAGATTTCAAATCGAAGAAGCAGATGTCAGTAACCTTCAAAAAAAGAAAAGAGGTAAATATCATTAACAAAACAATTTAAATACGCACATTCTATTTATGTCACGTTTAGAAGGTGTCTACTTTCTCTTTTAATCTTCAATCTTTGAAATAAAAATCACATACTTGAGGAAAATCTTGATATTTAATTGTGATCACGACTATGAAATTGAGCTCTTAAATTCTGGTTTCAATCCCTCTATGCCTAAGCCAATGCGAATCACATACTTGAGGAAAATCTAGATATTTAATTGTGATCACGACTGTGAAATTGAGCTCTTAAATTCTGGTTTCAATCCCTCTACTTGTTGCAATTTGATTGGTTGGAAGTAGCGTTGAGTGGTCCAATTCCGGTTGTATTTTCTACCGTCTGATGATTGATTGTGAAGTGTGATACTCCCAACCCAGCTACTTCCATGAAGATCATGCGATGATAATTATTACCGTCTGAACCCAAAACAAACTGAAAAAGTCTTGTATGATTCAGACGACTAACCCCCAATAACAAGCATTCTCAGAAATTGGCCGTGATTGAGCGTACATCAGATTCATTAAACCATCATATGACTGTTAGCTGCACAAACTACCAATACAAACGTGTCCACTTTCATTGCATTGACTTGTAGTTCAGTTTACACTTTTTCTCATGATCTTTCCAAACCGCAAAAAGAAAAAAAAAAAAAAAAAAAAGTCTCTAGAACACTACTTACGCTGTTATCTAATAATCTATCATGCGGATTCAACATGGATGAACCATTTCTCTCCAAAGAAGAAGGAACCAGTACTTTACAATCTATCAAGAGAGAATTCACATCTCCCTTTCTTGATATTGGTCCTCCAAGGCGCCAATCAACTGCTAGTCTTATCACCAATGATACAATTATTCCTATTATCACTACACCAAAGACTCCCTCTTATGTTAACCTCATCGCAAATTTGAACAAGAAGAAAAACCTAACTCGCCGCTCTCACTCTGCTCCTTCTGTATTCAGTGAAGTTAAGGAAACTTTTACTGATTCGTTTGACCCTCGCCCGCCCCCTAAATCCACTCCTGTGATTGTTCAGCAGGCTTTTATTGGTTTGATTTTATATATAATTCTTGGTATTGTAGTATTTTTGGTTAGTGGAAATTTCAAAGGCACTGCCACATTCAGGCCCGTGGATGCCTTGTACTTTATGGTAGTTACTCTTTGCACGATAGGTTATGGCGATATTGTTCCAGATTCGACGTTCACCAAGCTTTTTACCTGTGTTTTTATTTTGGTTGGATTTGGGTTCATCGATATTCTGCTACATGGGTTGGTCTCATACATTTGTGATAGGCAAGAAGCAGTTTTCTTAAGCACAGTGGACGAGAATCGATTCAATACAATGGTTAGAACGTATATGATTGATAAAGAAAAAGGAAGAATGAGAATAAGAATCAAAGTGTGCTTGGCCTTGATAGTTGTGGTTGGTTGCCTTGCTATAGGGACAATTGCTGTGCATTTTCTGGAAAATTTGAGCTGGGTTGATAGTTTTTATCTCTCTGTTACATCTGTAACAACTGTAGGCTATGGGGACTATGCCTTTTCCACAGTAACAGGGAGGTGTTTTGCTATTGTTTGGTTACTAGTAAGCACATTGGCTGTTGCTAGGGCCTTTCTCTACTTAACTGAGCTCAGGATTGACAAGAGAAATAGAAGAATTGCAAAATGGGTTCTTCAGAAGAAGATGACCCTGGGGGATTTAGTAGCTGCAGACCTTGATAATGACGGATCCATCAGGTATTATCATCATCTTCTAGTGTCAGCTTCATGGTTAAATTTATTTTTGTCAAAATTCGAAAACCCCTATGCAAGTTTTTTTTTTTCATATAATTTATCTACTGTTATATACTAGGTTCAATTGATAATTTATCACATTGGATGAAAGTTCCCTAGAAGTAAATCACATGAGGTCTTTTATGCCTTGGTAAAATTTGGAATGGATTGTTTGAATTTGGAGCAACATACTGATGATGCTATTGTGTTTTGTATTCACTTATGAATTCAAATGAGGGGTAATGATTATAGTTTATTAGGTAGAAGAGAACAGATCTATCTCTAAATGACCTTGTGGTACAAGCGTAGCTTGGTAGGAATTGGTTGAGCTGAATTGGAAGGAAATCACATTAACAGCATTTTACAGATCATTTGAAAATGCTACAACCTAGGAAGGAAACTCTTGTAACATCAATAGATGAAAGAAATCATGGTATCCAACTCAGAGCATAAGATCTAATTTAGGAGTCAAAATATGAATAATGGGACAAAGTAGTGATCCACTTCTTATTCATAAAACAAATACGTCAGAACACCAAAGTGCCTTCACAAAACCTGGCGGTTGCAATGATCATTAATTTTGAAGAGAAGCTCAGGTGATAGCCGCTATACCTTCATTGCATCAAAGCAAAGATTGCATAGATGATAAAGTAGTATGTCATGAAAGAAAAATAGGAACAAGTGGAGAGTTAGGATACTCGGTGGATTGGGAAAATGATATTCCATTAGTTGCAGGGTTATGTCAAAGTTGGTTTTAGATCTTTGGCCCACACTAATGAAGGATGAAGTTATTTTTCCTGTTAAATAGACTCCATGAAACTTGTAAAACTCACAGATAAATAATTTTGATTAAACAAGATACATGAATGGAAACAGTAGGATAAAAACTGGTAGGGATTTCAAAATTAGCTATAACAAAAAACCATTAGTACAAGGCAACATATGCAATGAAAATAGATTTATGGTGACGAATATTGTTTAGATTTATTCAGTAGATTAAAAGCGTCTGAGACTCTATATTTGGTTGCTTCCAATATTTAGTGGATTAAAATGGGTATAACTACATCTCAATGAGTTCTGTTATACATGGTCCTCTTCTCTATAGAGAGAGTGTGACTTGGCTCTAGATATGCTAATTCGGTTAAAATTCATTAATTTGAGTAGGAACAGGCAGTGTGATTTTGGTATTTAGGAGGTTCCTTTATTACCGTTTATCTTTTGGGGGCGTAACGTAGTGATTTTACCAGGAGTTCTAAGTTAAGTTATGGGAAAATTGGGTAGAAGACACAACAGAGGCAAATCTATGTACTTTCACTGGTATTTTTAACTGAAATTTGATCTACTTTTCTATGATAAAAAGAAACAACACCAGGCAGTGAAAGTTTTGGTTTCAATTGTGAAAGAAAATGAAGAATTATAACTCTTCTAGCTGATCAGTTCCATTTCAGGATGGAGTATATAAGTTCTATAAAGGAGGTTCAGTTCTGTTTACTTTTATCAAGTACTCAGAGCTTTTAGTCAACGTGTCAAGGGCTCAACTGGGGTTGGAGTTTGATCAGATATATACATCCTTTTAGTATACATTTAAAGAAAATCATGCTGAGCCAAATTACAATTAAGAAAATTATCAATTCATAGGTGTTGGAAGTATACGGAAGCATGATATCCGAATATAATTCCAGAATTCCAACTAATGTCTTAGCTAAGCCTGTGTCTTCATATCTTCACATGTTTCCAGTTAGAACGTTCGAGCTGAAGTGTTTTTCCCGGATGAAGTTAACGAGTCAAATTATTACTTCTGATACATTTGGTTTTGCAAGTGTTCTTACCCAAGAATAGCCTTTCTGTTTCTTTGCTTTTATCTGATTTATCTTTGAGGTTAATCATATAGTTGATTTGGTTCATGCTTACAGTAAATCGGAATATGTGATATACAAGCTCAAGGAGATGGGAAAGATAGCAGAGAAAGACATCCTGCAGATATGCAATCAATTTGATTTGATAGACAGTAGCAAATGTGGCAAAATTACTCTTGCAGACCTCATGGAAAGTGAATGAACCAAATGCGGTTTCTATGGGAACTAGACTGTCAAGTTTCAGATTTTGCCCTGTACAGAAGTAGAAATCAGAAGAACATCCCATCATTATTCTTTTATATACAATGGCCTCGGCCATATTGTGGCCCATTCCCTCCCACAAGCAGACAACTACTGCTCAGCTGGCTACTACTGGGGGGCTATTCTTTGCAAATATTATTTTGGTGAAGAAATGAAACATCACTAGTCTTTGTTTCGTGCGATTAGTTACCATTACTTTTCATCCGGCTATACCGAAGGTATATCATATATGTAAGATGTAACAATCTCAAAATCTAAAATGCATTCATAATCATTGAGAAGCAGTTATAAAATATATTTTTGTTCCTCAACATTTCATGAGTCCTGGCAAGCCTACGGTTATCAAAGGAGCCTTGTTACTCATCAATACAGGTAATGAATTACAAGTTTGGACTTCTTATAAACAGTGAATGAGAAACAGAATAACTTACATTATGTATTTGGACCTTCAAATAAAAACCATCATGCATTTCTCCAATGCTTCAGATAGATAACTGGCAGCTGCAATCACCAAGAAATTTCTTCAATTTAGTCGCAAGATAATATTGCACCAATCATGTTGGTCAGTGTTTCTTTTTAAAATCAGGCACTAACAATTGTGTCTGAGTCCAAGTAGTCAAATGCCCATGGAATTATTTGGCAACTGCAAAGTTTAAGTCAAGACAGAAAAGAATTGTATTTAAAAATGAACAACAGAAAACACAAAAAAAATTGAAAACGGTCATACAAACAAATCTACTTTGCATACATTGCCATTTTAACAAAATTTGTTTGCACTTTGTAGCATATTTTAGCAAATACAGTAAAGTAACAACCACTACTGCTTTGAAAATTTGCTATTCTTCATACCCTTAGTCTTGTAAGGCTAGTTGGCATAAGATACAGAGGTTATTAACTTTTCAGCCCAGTTTGAAACCTAACATGATAAGAGCTCATGAGTTAGAAGATTTTGATGAATATTTGAGGGTGCAATGGAATCCATCCACCAAGATAAGAGCTCATGAGTTAGAAGATTTTGCTGTTCATATAATATTTTTCAAACTTCTACAGTATGTAGCAAATCTACTATGGACTGGGTACAATGGTAGTTTTTATAATTAAACCTTAAATACGGACAAAGGAGGTTTCTTGCTCAAATGAAAAACACAGAAAGTACAAGTTGAGCAAAGCCCCAGTGACTTTCACACTAACAAGAAGCGGCAAAAATTAGCTGCTTCTTCAAATTTAACAAATAATAGTGAACTACTAAGCCCACAGCTACAATAACCTTTGTCAAAGATCTTTAACAACAAAGCAAAAACTAACATGAGTTTATTAATGTAATTGTAAATGTATAATATAATGCTTTTCCTACTGCCCTAATATGAATTTTGCTGAAACTTGGCATGGTTCAGGGAATAAAATATCTTAGATGAGATTAAATAAGTGTATCATTTCATGGAAAGAACCTAGTCCTCACCTGGCAGAACACCTGTATGATAAAATTAAGCTTTAAATGATCTCCACCATTGACTGCATGAAACTCGCAATTCTGTGAAGTGTGAACACAACAATGACTAACAGAATGATATCTTGAAGCAGTGGCCATGATTGTTACACAGTACTAATTTGGGTATAAGGGCACTTACCTCCCTCTAATACCACAGACACTCTCAAGAAGTTCCATTGTTTGCTGTACCTTAAAATTTTCAGGCTTTTCCTTGCTATTAAGTATCAGGGATGAGACATTTAAAATGGTGACAAGTTCTGCTTCAATATTGTTGAACTGTTCATCCAGATGTTTTAAGAAGCCATAATAAGAGGATATTCCCCTCAAACTACTGCTTACATTATCCTCAGCATCATTGTCCACGTCTACAGATCCTTGAAAATCCTCCATCTCTCTATTGATGGGAGAATTTGCCTGACTATCTGCTGAAAACTGCAAAACTGGAGTATCAGCATCACCAAGTTTCAAGGCATCAGGGTCCAAGTCTTTATCTTCATTTGTGTCTTTTTCAGCTTTTTGCTTTGGAGATATAATTCGAACTAGTCTGGTAGGATCTTCTCTGTCAACTTCAAGATCCAAAGCAACATTCCCAATCAGTTGAGATTCTTTTACAGATATTGCCTGAAACAAAATTAGGCTTCTGACATATATAAAACTAAACATTCAGTTCTTCAATAAGACCAACAAAATAACTATACATTGAAATAAAGAAACAGTTCCAATCCAATGAATTATCAAAGTCTATGATTAACTGTAAGACAGACAAAAGATTCCGGTTCAATCTTTAATTAACACCCTTGAGGTAGCCATTCCTGACCATATAATAAAGACATGTATGTGAATACTTTATCATAAAAGGGAGGAAAACTGGAACCATAAAATCTTGTTGCATATCACAGTAATAAATATAAACAGGCTCACAAAAGCACAAAAATCACCAATGACAATAAAAGAAAGCAACTGCATTGGCTTTGACTAAGGCTAGGATTTTGTGTTCCCAGACCATGCTGATTATTAATTTTCCAATACAGAAAGAAATGAAGAAGTCCATCAAGTGACGCATAATGTTAAATTTAAAACTAGTTGTAACTAATTTAAAGAAAGAAATTGATAACACAGACAACTTGAAAGACCCATACCATGATAAAAAATCTAAAGAATCAAAAAGTTTTCTCTATCATGTGGTAAACTGGATATATGACCAAGCATTCTCCAATTAACACTAATGCTACAATAACAGTGCAAAACAACTCAGAAGTTAAAGGAATACAATGCTTGATCAAGCATATTAAAATTTCAGCGCATAGCCATGTTCTCTGTCTGCTGACTATGTTTGTGGCAGTGAATCCCACTTCAACTAACATAAGTTTTAGTAGAGAGAAACTATATCAAAGCTGAAGAGGTCTACTATTTCAATATACAGGTGCGGGAAAATTTTGAAATCAAAGTACAAATTTCAGTAGTTTTTCCATGAGTGAAGGCTAGGGGCAAAAATTGCTCAACACATGAGAATCATAATTGGAATCATGGCAAAACCACATCATCGATGTTATGAACAGGAGAATGGTTTCTCCATCAAACTGTAAAAACTTCCACCAAAACAGTAGAAACCCATCATTTCTTAACGCTGTGTGTCTGCTTAAAGATATCAGCCAATCTAATAGCATCTGCAACATTTAACTTACTCTGCTGCAGAACACAAATTATTCATAATTTAGACACATTTTTGGTCATACGGGATTCTTGCAATATCAACTTATATCAGAAGCTGAAAAACAAAGCCACGAGCATAAGAACTCTGGGACCATCTTCATGCTTAAGTTTCAATACCACAAACAATTGAGAAAGTGAACTCAAAATGAAAAAAAACATCCACATATATCTCAGCGACTATTAAGAACATTCTCTAAAGACAATTTCAATTAAATACATCTGGCATAGCTAGTAGTGCAAATAAGATCTGACATACATTAACTTGGAAAAACTTGATCCCCTTTAGTTGGCCGGGAATATGTTCCACAGTTCACATAGGTAAATTTCAAAGAGCCAAAAAAAAAGAAAGCACTCTTCATCCTACCTCGTTAAGCTTAGCAGACAGCTCATCAAGTAATTCAATACGATTCTTTGATTTCTCCATGGCTTGCATGACCTTCTTCTTCTGAAATAGTAAATCCCTTGCATCATTTTCCTTCCCATTATGAACACTAATAGCTGCCTGTCGTTTAAGCTTCTCTGCCGCCTCCGACAATCGCAAAAGTCTTAGTCTTGCACTGTTTACTAGTCAACAACAATGAACTACATTCAAATTCTTAAGACATTTTAACAGCCTAATATATTACATTTAATAATCAAATCACACAAATATGTTGAGCATGAATCAATCAAGAATTTCAGATGGAAAGAGCCTATCACGTCATGCTTACACCCATCTAATAAAATCTTGTCAAATATAAGAATATTATCACGTGGTTAGGTTAACAAATTAGTTTTATCCGGTTACTGAATCCAGAACATGATGTCACAATTTCCCAATCATACATGTTCGAATTTAAGCAAGAACATTAAATATCTACCTTAAGCATGATGAATTTGAAAATAAATAGTAATTTCGTGAAATACCTACAAGCGCCTTTAATCAAATTTTGAATGAAATTGAAATATAAAAAGAGAATTTAGATGGTCACCTTTAGATCGAGCAGTTTCTGCTTCAGCGTGAAGTTGGTCGAGTTGGGTACGCAGCTGTTCTGTGTTGATGTTGGAAGCGAAGCAATTTGGCCTTACGACGAAAGCCCTGCAAGCTGCTACCATGGCACCGCTCTTCAATATCATCTCTTTCTTTTCTCCGGTGGACTCTTTATCGAACCGCTAAATCTGTAAAAAGTAAAATAATTGAATAAATAATACATCAAATTGATATGAACTGTGATATAAAGTATGAGTAATATGGGCAAACATATTATTACAGCAATTGTTAATAAATTTGTTAGTTTACCATAAATAATTATAAACCCGATGGAATGGAATTGTCAAATTACCATATCTGATTATAAAAATTATATTTCTGGATTTCAACTATTGAAATGTCGAACTAACTTCAACTAAACACATAAGGCACAATTATAGATTTCAACAATTTTTAGATAGTGAAGCTTTTTCTTGAATGAGATTTGTATTGTGAATTTGCTGAGGGTATACTACGAGGGTTTGTCTGAACTTATAAAAATTAGCTTATAAGAACAAGTGTTTATAAACATTTATAATTTTAAACAATTATGTGTTTAGTTAAAATACTTATAAGTGACTGATAAGTAGTTAAGGTGTTTGATAAAATGTGACTTATAAGTATATTTTATTATAAAATGACTAAAAATGGTACTACATTAAACAAGAGTATACTATAAAATTTTAAAATTAAAAAAGGACAATGTGGTAATATAGTTGGTTAAACTAGCTTATAAGCAAAGTACTTATAAACAAACAAAAAAAAAAAAAAAAGTACCTCTCCCAACTTATTATTATTATTTTTTTTTTATAAACTCAAAAAAGTTATAAACAAACATGTCAGTTTAATTTTAGAGCTTATAGCTAATTTGACTAACTTATAGCTTAGACAAACATCTCCTACGTATAGTTAGTAGCTATCATTCCCAATAAATGAAAATACGAGCTGTATTTCTCTAACATGAACATGTATGGAGTCTCCTTTGATATATTTCTCTAACATGCCATTGCCATTAATGTGAATTTAAATTAGAGAGAAAATGTAACTGGATTAATCTATAGTAGTAATTAAGCAAAGAGTATTTGAACTTATTTTTATTATGCATGCTTATTTACTGAATCAATTTAAATCTTATTGTTGAAAAGAATTTAATTTTATTCACCCTAGCTAATGTTTTACTTACTCTCACTCTTTCATTCCATACTTATAAATATATGGCTTTAGTATTATTGGAAATTCAAAGGCTTCTCCAACTCGTATCTTAATACCCCATTAATGTAAGATGGGAAGAAGCCATTACATCTAATATATAGTGATCGGAAAACAGAACCTTAGTCAAGTCACCACCACAGGGGCAGTTAGCGCCAAACAATGACTTTGTGTGTATTCTTCAAAAAGTCCTGAGTTTGATTTACTTGATTGTTAATAGAGGTTCTCACTGAGGAGATTTATCTAGATGTCACTTCAGGCCAGAGGATTAGTTGAGATACTGCAAGTTGGCCTGGACACCCTTATTCACCCCCCCTCCACCACCAAAAAAAAAAAAAAAAAAACCTAGTCAAAGTCTATTGAAAAGGAGAAAGAACTCAATTATGGAGAATAGAATAAATTAACAATTGTGTAAGTCATTTAAAGTTGTTATATTTTGTTATACCTAAAAAAATCAAGGCTGACGTAAGCTTAGACAGAGAGAATACGGTTGTCACCAACCTAGCAGGCTCAGGATTTGTCTGTGAATAACTGTGGTCCACACACCTGTCCAAGTCCTATATAATTTAAGGATATCTTCTAAGTTATCAGCCAAAATCAAAGTTCAGGAAGGCTTTGCACTGCTTGAAATCTGCCACGTCACCCTAAGACAGAGAGAATATGGCTGTCGAAGCTCAAGATTTGTCTGTGAATGAATGTGATCCATGCATATACCTATCCAAGCCCATATAATTTAAGGAATATCTCCTAAGTTATCAGTCAATGGGAGGCAAGGAATGACTTGCACGGTACCAACCCACTTGCAGATTTGTAATCATTACCTTGAACTCAGCGGCTATAAATAGAGGACTCCCTCTCACAAAATCAGGATCAAACTCTCTAAATTCATAAAAACAAATAGCAAAGACAACCTACGGAAAAGAAACTAACTTAATATTCTCTCTGAATACCAAGCTCTTGTAATTCTATTCGCTATTTGTAACCTCTTGTAACTTGGCTAATAACCAAGAACACTCATATAAAAGATAACAATAGATGTAGGAATCGTTTTAAGTTTTCGAACAACTATTAGGGTTGTGTAAAACCGGGTATCCGAACCGGTTTTGCCATTTTAATCGGGTACCCCTAAAAGGGTACCCGAAAACAGAACCGGTTTTTAGGGTACTCGAATGTTCGGGTTAATTTTCGGTTACCCATTTATAACCCGAATTTTAAATGGTTCAATACTTAATTAAACTTTTAAAGGGCAAAATCATAAATTTCTTTTTTCCTTCTCCAATCTTCTGTTTCTTCTTCATCTTATTCACCTCCATTCGACCATTTATCTTTCATCATCTAATTTTTCCACCGACCCTTTTCTTTCTCTTCTTCGATTCCCTTTGCTTTTCTCATTTTTCCCAGTCTTCTCCATTTCTTCTTCTCCCTTTGCCTTTCTTATTCTTTCCAGTCTTCTCCATTTCTTCTCCTTCACTACTTTTCTCATTCTTTTTCACCGTCTTCTCTTCCAGATCTTAATAATATTCAAGACCAAGAAACGTAATCTTAATATCCAGTAAGTAAACCCACATGCATGAGACATCGTCACTAATTGAACTCATTTCTTTTTAACTCAACTTGACTCAACATAACACAAAGTCACACTTTACAAAACACAAAAACCTTTACAAATGCAACGACAAGACTATTAGAAACAACAATATACAATATCTGCTGCCCACACAAAAGAGCAAAGACAGAACCTGCAGGAAGAATTGAAGAAGAAGATGCGAACTAGAGAGTAATTTGCGTTTTAGGGTTAAATTAATTTGGGGCTTTTGTTATGAGTCAAACAAAAAAGGAAAAATTGTTTTACTTTTTATTTTTTTAATAAAACAGGGTATTGGGTACCCGATTGCGTTTTTAATAAGACTCGATACTAGTGATGACAATGGGCCAGGCTGGACCGGGTACCCCTTGGCCCAGGCCCAAGTCCGACCTCATGACAGAGGCCTAAGCCTGGCCCGAGCTCGTCACAGGTATGATAGGTAAAGCCCAAGCTCGGCTCGACGGGTTTTTTGTAACCTCAGGCCCGACCCAACCCCGCCCATTTTTATAATGTGAATTTTTAAATATTAATAAATTTCAATTTTTTTTTATATTTTTAATTCTAAAAATAGTTTTTAAATATTTATTTATTTTTGAATACTCATCAAATGAGATGAGATTAGGGTTTGGGAAAGTGGCATATATATGTAGGATAATCTTATAATTAAATATATAGTATAAAGATAATTTAGTAAAATTAATACTATAATTGTCAGGCTAGGCCGGGTCAGGAGAATAAAATCAGGCCCAGGCCCAAGCCCAAGCCTGCGAACATGGGGTAAAGTCTGACCCTTTTGGGCCGAGCGGGTACCCAAAAATATCGGACCCATTGCCATCTCTAATCGATACCAAAACCAAAAATTCGAGTATCTCATGAATTACTACCCAAAAACTACTAGAATTTTCAGGTACCAAAAAAATTTGGTTCGGTTAGCATGTTTGGTTCGGGTAGCGGATAATTTTGCATAACCCTATCCACTATAAAAATTCTCATTATCTTATTTATTATTTAATCTTTATATGTAATTGTGACTTTAACCCAAACCTTATATTAAACAGGTATAATTTTTAAAACTTACTTAACACTTTGGATCGTGCGAGATCGTTTTTGTCAAAATAACATATCAACGTATCTAATAATAAAGTCACAAAATCAGCACAGTGAATCGTCTTTTACAAGTATATATGGTAAATTCCTAAAGGCAGAGATCCCTAGATCATCATGACCCGATCTTAGTTATTTCTCTCTCTCACACAATGAGGAAGACAAACAACTTAACTGGAAAGATTCATCCGGCTCCCAAAAAGCATAAGAATATGGAAACATGCACTGATTTTAATGGCCGGGGATCCAAGTACTAACACATGCAATTAATGTTATATATAAAACGGCTAGCTAGAGTAAAGATGTAGTGACGTAGATACCTGGAATGGTTAAAAATGAATCAATAATGGCAATGGCAATGCTGACAATTGAGAGAAATTTCGTAACTGATTTTTTTTTTTTTTTTTTTGAAATTTTGCTTTATAATCGAAGACAAAGGACAAGAGTCACTAGACAGATAGTTTGATCCGATATATATATAACTTCCATTATAGTTAGTCTTTAAAAGAGTGAATATTTTGTTCAAACAAAACCTTTGGAAATATTACTTTGCGTATGTTTTATTTACAAATATTGGACAGAATTACACCAGCTTATATCTCCTTAGTTCTTTCTGCACTAAATTTGCTTAATTAAAAGATCCATGGACGATTTAAACACATGGTGAACATTCAAATACCTGATTGAAATATCTTAAATCTTATACTATTAATAGAGAAAGTCCTGACCCCTGCACACAGCTCTTAACATCCTCAAGCTAGCTAGCTAGCTATATATCGTTCTACTGCATTGCATGCATTTCTGGGCAATTACTATAAAATGTGGTATTTAATATTAAACTTGGAGATGTTAAAATGCATGCAAGACTCTAAATTTGAGTAGCAAAGAGATCAAATGATAGGTTGATTTCTAAGTACTGCAAAGGCAGTACTTGACATGATTAATACCTTAAAACTCCATTGATATTCTTAAAGATATCATGGCCAAGTTTTACATCTGTATATAAACGCTTAAAGAGCTCCTCTCATCTTCATCAACATATATATCCATATATATTACGTACCTCCATATAAGTGGTCAAACAACCACCATAGTAATTGCAATTTTACAAACATAATGATATACTATTAACACTTCCCCACCATCCTCGCATTTGAGACTTGTTTTCATGCAAAGTTTGGCAGCAGAGATAGCAAACAGACATACGGAAAGGGATCATCATTCACTTTTTGAAAAAGGCAGCTGGGGTATTGCAAGCTCCAGGAGATGAATGTGAATGAATTCCAATATGTCAGAAATATGAAATTAACTCTCTCGGTATGTAAGAGAGCGATACCATGCAGGTATTTGTTCATCTATGAGAAGCGAATTCCCTTTGCGAATTAATTTAGAGAGACGAAGTGATGATGAGTTCATTGCTCCCGTTTTTGGATAAATGAGGGAACTAAATCTTGCAATAAGCCATAATCAGGAACCTGGAGCTGCTGCTGTGGTACAAGATTCTGATAGTACATTGCAGGTGGAACGGCTTGGTTATTTGTAAGTGGCGGAAGCAATTGAGTGAGGAGCTCCTGAGGAAAGCTGGGACCAACCGACGCAGATCCAAAAAGTGAAGGTGATAGCATTCCGGCGGCAGTGCCTCGAAGTGTAGCAGGACACTGATGGTTGTGTTGGCCTTCATATGTTGTGATCACGATTGTGGGATCTTGGAATGATCTTTCAACGCGTTTCTTCACTGTGCACTTTTGACTTGTGCATCTGTAGTAACTTCTGCAATACCAACCAATAGTCAATAAGAAAATATGTCTACTTTTCATGATAACGTTTTCTTTGTGTTATGATTATTAATTGACTTTTCGGTGTCATCAATAGATGATGAGACTTAGATTATAATAACAAGGGTTTTTCAGGACAAAATTAAGCTTCATATGATTACAATGAGATGGAATATTAATATCTAAAACCAATGTCAGATGAAAAATGAGCTGTAACAATGGTTTAAACTTAAATGACATTGGACGATGCAGTCAAGGTTGGAAGATCAACAAGGTGTGTGATTGCAACTAAAGTTGGTGAAATGGTCTTTAATTCATGAAGTAACTATTTAACAGCATGAGCGGTTTCTCAAATCTCATTCAGATCGACTGCATAAACTAAGTCATTTCATCAATAAAAAGTTTTGAAAAGTTAAATCTTAATAATCATCTATTCTCTGATAAATTGATATACATTTGAAAATCAGAAAGTTTAGTTTCGCTTTTGTGTTATACGTGTGCAAGAAATTGAAAAATAGTGACCTTGGGTAAGGGCTATTCTTGACTGCCTTCTGTCCGTACTTTCTCCACCTGTACCCATCTTCAAGATGATCGATCTCGCTCTTAGTGAGGAAAGCAAACCGCGGCTCCCTTTGTTTTTTCTCCTTTTTTGGCTTGTTCCTGATCATAGATTAACAAGTTAGAACACACCTGAAGAAATTTCTAGACATCTAATTAAACTAATTTCCTTAAAACATTAATAATCATGCACATAAAATGATAATTGATGTATATGTGAATTAGGGTTTTGTAACCTGTTACTCTTCATTTTTTGCTATGATATTATTTTCTATTTGTAGAACCAACGGAAGCAGAATTGTCAATCGATGATCACGAAACTGAGAGGAAATGATTGTGTAGTAGACAGATCCGTATCTCTTTCAAGAGGTAGAGAAAGTCTTTTTAGAATAGTGGCCAAAGTCACAGAAAGACTTTGAAAGTGTACTCTGATCATTTAAAAAAGAAAAAAACATGGAAAATGATATGCAAACCCTATTTAGACCTGTACACACATAGAAGAAATCCAGTTCCAAAAAAGCTTAAATTCTCAATTAATTTTTACCATGAACAAACCAAGACGCAAGATATATATATATATATATATATCACTTACCCAGCTTTCTTATTCTTCTCATGATCTCCATTTTCGCGGGCTTTCGGCTGCTTATCTTTCTTGTTGTTCTCAGAATCTTCATCTGCTGCTGCCTCATTAGACGAAGAAGAAACAGAAGAATTTGGGGTTGATGGATTCTCATTGATTCCAGCTGAATCTCCAGCAGCATGTACAGTACTACTTTTCTTATTATTAGAAGCGTCTTCTATGGGACTAATCACTTCAGATGATGAGCACGAGATGTCAAAAGCTCTTGATAGAGTGTTGTAATCCATGGAGCCATGTAAACAGTCAGTGAAGCTCATGCTGTAGGAGCTTGGATCAAACCCTTGTAGGCCTTGTGTAGGTGAAGGACGTTGATTATTATACATGGAAGGATTTTGATTTTGATGATGATCTTGAAAGAAGTTATAGCCTAACCGGTTAAATCCTTGAGGGTTACAGTCGAAAGGATCGTAACGAAACGGGGTTTTCTTCTCATTATTCGACATAGAAGAAAGTGAACACTAGTGCTGAAATTGGAGAGCAAGAAGATGATAAGAGTGAGAGAAAATAAGAGGAGAGAGAGCTTTAGGTTCAACTGATCTTTCTTTATTCTTTTTTGAAAGTGAGGTTTGCGTTAAAATTTTGTCCCACTTTTATTATTATAAAAAGGAGATAGGGAGTTGTTTGGACGATAGGTTTGGCTATTCTCCACTGTTTCCAAAGACCAGAAAAAACTTTACTCTATCGTTTTTTTCCTTTAATAATTGTTATTTAATTTTCAACCATGAAAATGTGAACAAAAATGGAAATTATGCATAATAGTTCATACCACTAACTCTGCATTTTGAAAGTCTTTTTCATAAAAACATTTTAAAGTTTTTTTTTTTTTTGTTTTAAATAAAATATTTTCTTAAAAAAACTTTGAAAACTGTTAATAACTAGTGTTTTCAATCAAAATTGGTTAAAAAATTTACATTTCTATACTTTCTTTTTCCCATAAAATTTCAGTTACTCTATATACCAATTAAAATCTCTTTGTAATTACATTTCATTAATTCAATCAAATACTGTAATATATATAAGAAAAGCAATTTATATGCACAACGCCTTTAGTTTGCGAGAGAAGAAGAAGGGGAGGACCAATCACTTAATTATAATTCTTACAAATGCAATAATAAATAAAAGTTAAAAAAAAAAAAAACTGAAGATAAACTATGACTGAGGCTTGACCGTTCACGGGCTGAAGGCGGTCACAATCACGTTGCAAAGGTGGTCAATGTTTACAACTTTACGGTTTCTTTTTATTCGGTGAGGATCGGCTTACACGTGTCAAGGATTGGGCACCGGCATTTGACCGTAACTGGCACGTGGGAGAATTTTTATTTATTTTTTAATTTTTTTCATTTAATTTGCTACAACTGTTATGCTGTAGCTGATTGGGGTTTCACGTCATCTCATCGCCGTTACGTTCCGAATTTTGTGGCACGCTTCTTGTTTCATTAAGTCAAACTAATTTTGATTAAGTCCTTGCAGATTATAATTACATTGTATTCTTCTCCTTCCTTTTTTCACGAATAATCAAATAACAAATATAATTATATTAACTAATCAGTGCATAAAGTTGAAAATAAACCATGCTTATCATTTATGAAGCTTATATTAATGTATGTCTTATGTTTATTACCACCTTTTTCTAACTTTTTTCAATGTCTTTCATTAGCTATACTTTGATTTCTCAATTTGTTATTATTTTTTTTTTTTTTTAAGATTCAAAGGCTGTCATTTCATATAATATTCAGTACTACTACCACCTTTTTTTTCTAACTTTTTGCTTATAGTTTGCAACCAGCTAGTTACCTTTGAACCAGAATGCAATTCTATTACGTTGTACTCTTCGTTTACTCCTTTTTTAGCATGATTTACAACTGTGACTTGTTTCAGCAAGTATCTAATTCAAGAAAAATATGCTAAAAGTATCCAATTATTTTTAACTTTATTCATAATCAGGGAAGTAACCGCATTCTTGATCCATCTTCTGCAATTTGAAATCAAAGAGAAAATTTATGTATTTTTATATTTATTAAATATTTTACATGCCTTGCGGCTGTATAGTGATTGATTAGATGGAGAATGGCATGATTTATATTTATAATCTTCAAAATCCAATCATGGAGATATACAGACGCCTCACTTTCTTTACGCAAACTATGAATAATTGACCCTGTTATTGGATCTAAGTTGGACATATTCTCGATATTTCTTTTGATGAATGTTTGACCTTCATCCATTAATGCTTAAAAAGATGCAACTAATCATCTTATTCTTTCTTGAAATAAGTTGAACTTGAATTCAGAGAAACACTGTGACTATGGAAACATGCACTGATTTAATGGCCGGGGATCAAGTACTAACACATGCAATTAATGTTATATATAAAACGGCTAGCAGAGTAAAGTGTAGTGACGCAGATACCTGGAATGGTTATGAATGAATCAATAATGGCAATGGCAATGCTGACAATTGAGAGAAATTTCGTAACTGAATTTTTTTTTTGAAAATTTTGCTTTATAATCGAAGACAAAGGACAAGAGTCACTAGACAGATAGTTTGATCCGATATATATATATATAACTTCCATTATAATTAGTCTTTAAAAGAGTAATTTTTTGTTCAAACAAACCTTTGGAAATATTACTTTGCGTATGTTTTATTTACAAATATTGGACAGAATTACACCAGCTTATATCTCCTTAGTTCTTTCTGCACTAAATTTGCTTAATTAAAAGATCCATGGACGATTTAAACACATGGTGAACATTCAAATACCTGATTGAAATATCTAAATCTTATAATATTAATAGAGAAAGTCCTGACCCCTGCACACAGCTCTTAACATCCTCAAGCTAGCTAGCTAGCTATATATCGTTCTATGCATTGCATGCATTTCTGCTTAATTACTATAAAATGTGGTATTTAATATTAAACTTGGAGATGTTAAAATGCATGCAGACTCTAAATTTGAGTAGCAAAGAGATCAATGATAGGTTGATTTCTAAGTACTGTAAAGGCAGTACTTGACATGAGTAATACCTTAAAACTCCATTGATATTCTTAAAGATTCATGGCCAAGTTTTACATCTGTAATAAACGCTTAAGAGCTCTCTCTCATCTTCATCAACATATATATCCATATATATTACGTACCTCCATATAAGTGGTCAAACAACCACCATAGTAATTGCAATTTTACAAACTAATGATACTATTAACACTACCCCACCATCCTCGCATTTGAGACTTGTTTTCATGCAAAGTTTGGCAGCAGAGATAGCAAACAGACATACGGAAAGGGATCATCATTCACTTTTTGAAAAAGGCAGCTGGGGTTTGCAAGCTCCAGGAGATGAATGTGAATGAATTCCAATATGTCAGAAATATGAAATTAACTCTCTCGGTATGTAAGGAGCGATACCATGCAGGTATTTGTTCATCTATGAGAAGCGAATTCCCTTAGCGAAAATTTAGAGAGACGAAGTGAGATGAGTTCATTGCTCCCGTTTTGGATAAATGAGGGAACTAAATTGCAATAAGCCATAATCAGGAACCTGGAGCTGCTGCTGTGGTACAAGATTCTGATAGTACATTGCAGTGGGAACGGCTTGGTTATTTGAAGTGGCGGAAGCAATTGAGTGAGGAGCTCCTGAGGAAAGCTGGGACCAACCGACGCAGATCCAAAAAGTGAAGGTGATAGCATTCCGGCGGCAGTGCCTCGAAGTGTAGCAGGACACTGATGGTTGTGTTGGCCTTCATATGTTGTGATCACGATTGTGGGATCTTGGAATGATCTTTCAACGCGTTTCTTCACTGTGCACTTTTGACTTGTGCATCTGTAGTAACTTCTGCAATACCAACCAATAGTCAATAAGAAAATATGTCTACTTTTCATGATAACGTTTCTTTGTGTTATGATTATTAATTGACTTTTCGGTGTCATCAATAATGATGAGACTTAGATTATAATAACAAGGGTTTTTCAGGACAAAATAAGTTCATATGATTACATGAGATGGAATATTAATATCATAAAACCAATGTCAGATGAAAAATGAGCTGTAACAATGGTTTAAACTTAAATGACATTGGACGATGCAGTCAAGGTTGGAAGATCAAAAAGGTGTGTGATTGCAACTAAAGTTGTGTGAAATGGTCTTTAATTCATGAAGTAACTATTTAACAGCATGAGCGGTTTCTGAAATCTCATTCAGATCGACTGTATAAACTAAGTCATTTCATCAATAAAAAGTTTTGAAAAGCTAAATCTTAATAATCATCTATTCTCTGATAAATTGATATACATTTGAAAATCAGAAAGTTTAGTTTCGCTTTTGTTTATACGTGTGCAAGAAATTGAAAAATATGACCTTGGGTAAGGGCATTCTTGACTGCCTTCTGTCCGTACTTTCTCCACCTGTACCCATCTTCAAGATGATCGATCTCGTCTTAGTGAGGAAAGCAAACCGCGGCTCCCTTTGTTTTTTCTCCTTTTTTGGCTTGTTCCTGATCATAGATTAACAAGTTAGAACACACCTGAAGAAATTTCTAGACATCTAATTAAACTAATTTCCTAAACATTAATATCATGCACATAAAATGATAATTGATGATATGGAATTAGGGTTTTGTAACCTGTTACTCTTCATTTTTGCTATGATATATTTTCTATTTTAGAACCAACGGAAGCAGAATTGTCAACGATGATCACGAACTGAGAGGAAATGAATGTGTAGTAGACAGATCGTATATCTTTAAGAGGTAGAGAAAGTCTTTTTAGAATAGTGGCCAAAGTCACAGAAAGACTTTGAAAGTGTACTCTGATCATTTAAAAAAGAAAAAAACATGGAAAATGATAAAAATAGAATAAATTAACAATTGTGTAAGTCATTTAAAGTCGTTATATCTTGTTATGCCTAAAAAAATCAAGGCTGACGTAAGCTTAGATAAAGAGAATACGGTTGTCACCAACCTAGCAGGCTCAGGATTTGTCTGTGAATAAATGTGGTCCACACACCTGTCCAAGACCCATATAATTTAAGGATATCTCTTAAGTTATCAGCCAAAATCAAAGTTCAGGAAGACTTTGCACCGCTTGAAATCTGCCACGTCACCCTAAGACAGAGAGAATACGGCTATCGAAGCTCAAGATTTGTCTGTGAATGAATGTGATCCAGACACCTGTCCAAGCGTCATATAATTTAAAGGATATCTCCTAAGTTATTAGCCAATAGGAGGCAAGGAATGACTTGCACAATACCAACCCACTTGCAGACTTGTAATCATTACCTTGAACTCAGTGGCTATAAATAAAGGACTTCTTCTCACAAAATCGGGATCAGACTCTCTAAATTCACAAAAACAAATAGCAAAGACAACCTACAGAAAAGAGATTGACTTAATATTCTTTCTGAATACCAAGCTCTTGTAATTCTATTCACTATTCGTAACCTCTTGTAACTTGGCTAATAACCAAGAAAACTCATATAAAAGATAACAGTAGATGTAGGAATCGTTTTAAGCTTCCGAACCACTAGTAGGGCTGTGCAAAACTGGGTACTCGAACCGGTTTTGCCATTTTAAT